TTTCTCTTATTAGTCTTTTGGCCCGCGGTCTTCTGTTTGGGAGGACGAGCAGCCGTAGGCTGAGGAGCTTCCTTATGTTGCTCTAGAGGTGTTCGCCCTTCGATGCCAATTTGTATCCCCCTTGTGGGGATATCACATGGACCATCTCGATTAGCTCAGGCAGATCGACCTAGGGAAACACAAACTTTCTCAGCACCTTGGGCAGCATGATTGCTGCACACCATAAAAATGTTAGTAATACAAGTCGCCACAGGCAACCAAAAAGTATTCTAAGTATGGGGGATACTTATGGTCCGACTCTAAGGATGCTTTCAAGTTGAAAAAGCCGTACTTCCTCAAATTCCTCAAATTAGCAACGGTCACGAGTAGCTTCGCGTCACGACAGTGGTTGGGAAGACGGCCAAATGAGACAATTCGGTTGTAATTTGTTAGATTTCCCAACCTGGTCGTCTTATTTCCTACAAAGAGATAGAAAGTTTCGTCAGATACAAAAACCAAAGGTATAACAACTCGCAAATGGAAAAGAAAGACGTACTTGGCTCCCTGAACTAGCAAACGGCCATCGTATTCAAAAAAGAAAAACTTTGTTTCATAAGCCCCGACGTTGCTGGGGTAATTGAAAATTTTTCTCTCGATCGTGGATCGCTTCGAGAGATAGAAGGAATCTTTGTCCTTGCTCTTCTTCAGATAGTAAAAGCACGCGAGCTCCAGTACTATCAGCTCGCCAAGGTCATCTTCGCCACATGCGATATATATAGCAATAGCTATCATAAACGCATTGAGCGTTAACTGCATTGGCGCGACCTCGAAGTGGTCAAGAATTTACCTTACGAAGGGATGAAAAGGTATCAGTGCCCCACACTTAAAGATCATCTCTGAGATCGCGGCCTTTCCCTCTGGGGGATTCCGAGCCATACGGTTTCTGTGCTTGTAGACATCCACACTAAGTGTGTATTGGTCCACTGCCTTTTGAATCTCCTCTCGGGTGATCACCGACAAGGTCTTTGGCATAGGACCCGCTTGGGTGGCTAACGCCTGCAAGCTCGTGCCTTCGGCTCCCCTGGTCGCTGAAGCGTCCATTGTTCCTAAGGTCTGAAAAGGGCCGACGTAATAAAAAATAATAAAAAGTAATATGTGATAATATATAATAAAAGATAGGAAAAAGGCTCAGTCTTCGTACGATGTTCCATACGGTGACGTGGAAGGACAAGGGGAACCCTAATGCATCCTTCTAAAACCCTAGTAAAACCCTCAAAAACCTTCTGGGAGTTAACCCCCAGGGATCTGTGCCCTAAACTTCTCATTTCAAGGAAGACTAAACCCCTCTCCCCACCACTGTCTGGGGACATGCACTGCAAAAGCCCACAGGACAACCCATGCTCACCATTACCAAACAAGTCATACAGAACCGTTGAGCGATGGAAGAAAGTGAGAGAGAAACTCTTCTTACCTCTTGGTGGCGTGGGAAGAATTTTCTATCATAATGAACGGTGCACATCAACGGAAGAATGTGGGCTGACTGTTGCGAAAGCTTTGTTTCTCTTTCTGAGAATGAGAGTTTATGGTAACAAATCTGAAGCAAATTCAGATTTTATAGGCAAAAAGGCATCGATTGGGTTTCCTGAGTAGGCGACGTTTGGGCGAGACACAATCCTCACCTTTGATTACAACCATGTATCATTAATCTATGAGAAAAGTAACTCCCACACTTCGAAAAGCCAATCGATGTTTCCCTCCTTTGGAATAACCAAACGACGGCACAGTTACCCTTCTCCACATTAAATGCGCCCCTATCCGCATTTAATACCCTAACAGAGAATGCCGTTTTAGCATGGCTTGCATTAAATGTATATGGCTGACACTTATTGCGTAATGGACAAATCTGTCAGAAGCAAGAATATTTTATTGGTTAGGTAAACTATCACTTGCAATGGATAACATCTAAAGTGGTCGTTCGAATTAACACTCTTCATCGTGCGTTGGTTTCAAGGCAACACAACCCCTCGCTTTTGATAAAAGAGGTAATAAGGCTTTCTCAGGTCGCGTGATAGAGTTGAGGCTCATGACATATTGATACGACACTGATTACGAGCTGATCCAGGTCGCTGAACCTACCATAAAAAAAGTTGTGTCAAGTTGCTAAGTATAGTTCTCAGGGATCCATGCAGCTCGATCGGTTGACAACCTAATTCGCAACATAATCATAAAGTTCTCAAGGTTTAATCCTTAAACCTTAAGAACTAGGGGGCTTCTGTTATGCTCAAGAACCAGGGCTAGCGTAAGCATGCGTCAGCAAGAACTAATCAGAATTCAGGAAGGTTTTCTGACACTAGGATGCAACCACATCCTACAAGGACCAGAGGGGTAAGGCCATCGTTAATAAGGCAGGTGAACGTTAGGCTTATGGGTAGTTAGGAATTGTCCACCTACTGAAGCTATGTATGATTTAAAGATACCTCTCGTACAGGCAACCAATGGGAAGCGGGTTAGGAATTGTAACACACCTGCCCACACACAGAATCATGATTGCCATCTTGGGTCCTCCCACTATAAATAGAGGGCTCTCCTCCATTTTACAAGATTGGCTTATTCACCATCTGAACTCTCCCTCTCTCCCTCTCTACCCATTCATTCTCTCTATTGTAATTCAGCTCGCCGAGTGCAACCTGACTGTAACCCACTATTAATATAATCACAGTGGATGTAGGATTCACCTTAGAACATCCGAAACACTTTAAAAATTGTTATCCGCTCCATCTCTTTCTTTGCATTTCCATATCACATGTGATTTCTAAGTCCGCTTAGCACTTTACACATGCGAATAGTTGGTGTCAAAATCAAGCATCAACACCACTTTTTTCCTATGAATATGTCTTCTTGCAATACAAACTCAAGCACACCAAACCCTTTTCTTTTTTAATTCTATCTCCATTCACAAAGGTAAGCACAATACATATTGAGCACACACTCAACAGAGGACTCTTTTTCCAGTAGCCAAATACTCAGCTCGACTCTGATAGAATTTAAGGTGGGCCTAACTCCTTACCCAATAAGGCCTTGTTGAATGGGAGGATTACCCCCTCTTATAAACTAGTAGGTTTGAGGGTGCCTAGTTGGTGTAGGACTCCAACACTCTCCCTCACGGTCAGGGGCGGATCCAAAGTGTATTAAGGGTGGGCCATGGCCCACCCTCAATTTAAAAAAAAAAAAATTAAATACATTATCTTATTTACTTTGACTTTGGCCCACCCTTAATTTTTATTGTAAAATATTAAAAAATTATGGCCCACTCTCAATTTTGGAACTGAAAGTCTTGGCTTATATGGTTTGGCTCCAAGTGTAACATAGTCTAGCTATCGTTTTCCAACGGGTTTATAATATTTAAGTTGTTAAGTCGAAAATCATTTTTTATGCGCATCAACTTTGCTAAAGTAAACGATAAGCTATCGTAATTGGTCACATTAGTTATTAGTTGAGTAGATATATATGGTAAAACAGTGACACTTACCCATATAGACTATGAAATTCGAAGCACCGACTATTGTATAATAATATAAATATAGTGAACAAATTTATTTTAGTCAATCAATAAAATCCGATTAGAAAGAAGGCCCCTACATATATAAATTATAGAACTAGAAGCACCGACTACTATATAATAATATAAATTTATTTCATTCAATGATTCAATCAATAAAATCCGAATAGAAAGAAAGAAGGGCGCGTTATAATGAGCAAAGTGCAAGCTACATGTGAACAGTAAATTACTCTAATTGGTCTTGAGAATGGGGCCCAGCATTCGTCATCATACATGTCATTTTGCAATACTACGTTAACTGCTGCTACTCTTTGTTACAAAATGTTCGGAACACATCAATTATTGGGTCCATTTAGTTGAGATTTTTGACTTTTAGTTTAATTGTCTGCTTCTCATCATGATTTCATAATATAAAAATACAAATATAAAGACTTAATTAAGTTACATAAATTACACAAATCACTAAAATTTTAGGAGAGCTCATATAAAAATAGAGTTTAATTATAAATCATGTATCCTTTTTTTATTAATATTTTCAAACATTTTTCTTTCCTTATTTATGAGAAGGTGTAATATTTAAATTATATATATAGGGCACAATACTTTTAGTGTCACATCATTTTATTTATATAAGTTAGTTTGACTGAATTGAGTTTGTATACAAATTCATTCATTCATATTGTGTATTCTTATATATTAAAAAATTTATATATTTTTGCATGAGTACTTTATAAATATAATATTATTCTATTCTTATGAATAATGTTATACTTATAAACTCTTTGTAATAAAGAGATTAATATAAAATTACGTGATATTACTATTTAAATGACATACCAATTAATAAATTGATTTTATCATATAAATTTTGTCATATCATTTTGTATATATATTATTAAGTTATGTGCATTTAAAACTTTTCATTATTGTCTATATAATTGCTTACAATGTCTTTGTGATGAATTCTTGACAAGATTAATTAATTTGCCTTATTATAAAGTTCCGTGTTGGGTAAAAGCAGCAAAACGTAAAATCAAAGATCGATATAGGGAAACATCTCCTTGCATGCGGCGAAAAGACTTGCTAATTATGCGTGATAGTCGACCTTCTTTTCTCATCCTATATTTCTGTATAGAAATATTATCTCAATACCAATTAAAGCGTGTCAGCTTGACCTTTTGATTTTTCGTATATTTTTTTGATAGATTACTTTTTTGAAAAATAATTTTTACAATTTTAACAGAGATTTCAGACAAATTTTAAAATTAATTAAAATCTATCTGCAAATTAATTGTGTTATGTAATTATATGAATTGTCAATGAATTTTTTGAGCCCCTTCTTTATTTTTTCACTTTCGTTATTTGGAGGTCGATAAAATAAGATTGTATATTAATTGATGATAGAAGAAATCTTAATCCTTATAGGTTAAAATAAAGATAAAGGAAAAAAAAAGCATGCAAATAGTGAACAGAAGAAATCTCAAGTATAACTCGGGAAACTGGATAATTTACATGACAACATAAGACGAGCAAACTACTGAATAAAATATGCTCATCAGGTACAAGCCAACTGATAATAAGCACTACAATGACCAAAGCAAAACAAATAATACTCCTCTTAAGTAGTAACTAATACACAGAACAGAATACTAATCTCAAGAAATTGATATATGATTTGCATGGTCTGTTATTTCTTCATACGAGGAAATTCCTATAGATATATATATGTGTAGGTGCTGATCAATTGGAAGATGGGGGCTTATGGGGTGGCTTGTGGTAGGGCTTTGGTTCCTTCTCTCCATGAGTTGGTGGCTTCAGCTTCCTGGGTGGCTTATGTGAATCCTCAACTTCTCCATGAGTTGGCGGCTTGTGCTTTGGTGGCTCCTTCTCTCCCTTGCCACCGTGGCCAGGGAAATTAGGCTTGTTGGGTGGTTGCTCCTCTCCCTTGCCACCATGTCCTGGGAAATTAGGCTTGTGTGAGTCCTCAACTTCCTCCTCCAACATGTGTCCATGCGGTGGCTTGTGTTTGGGTGGTTGCTTCTCTCCCTTGCCACCCTGTCCTGGGAAATTAGGCTCGTTGGGTGGCTGTTTCTCTCCCTTGCCACCATGTCCTGGGAAATTAGGCTCGTTGGGTGGCTGCTTCTCTCCCTTGCCACCATGTCCTGGGAAATTAGGCTTGTTGGGTGGTTGCTCCTCTCCCTTGCCACCATGTCCTGGGAAATTAGGCTTGTGTGAGTCCTCAACTTCCTCCTCCAACATGTGTCCATGCGGTGGCTTGTGCTTGGGTGGTTGCTTCTCTCCATTGCCACCATGTCCAGGGAAATTAGGCTCGTTGGGTGGCTGTTTCTCTCCCTTGCCACCATGTCCTGGGAAATTAGGCTTGTTCGGTGGTTGCTTCTCTCCCTTGCCACCATGTCCAGGGAAATTAGGCTTGTGTGAGTCATCAGCTTCCTCCACCAACATGTTTCCATGCGGTGGCTTGTGTTTTGGTGGTTGCTTCTCTCCCTTGCCACCGTGTCCTGGGAAATTAGGCTTGTTGGGTGGTTGCTTCTCACCCTTGCCACCATGTCCTGGGAAATTGGGCTTGTGTGAGTCCTCAACCTCCTCTACCAACATGTGTCCGTGAGGTGGTTTGTGATTTGGTGGTTTGTGTTCTGGTGGCTTATGCTCATTTTTGGGAGGCTCATGATGGTTATCAGCAAGTGAGGAAGTGATGAAAAGAACCACTCCGAGAAGGAGCAACACTGGTAAGTATTTGGAAGACATTTTCGAGTTTGTGGAAAACTGAGAAGATTGAGTGCCCTTTTATAGGGAACGAGGGAGCTAGCCATCGTCATCACTTATGTAAGCCTCATTTGTCTTTTATATCACTGCTACTGAACTAGTTTGAGTGCACATGCACATGCACATGCACAAACGATACATTTCTTTTGATATCTTCTTCTGGTTGCATTTTTCAAGGATAATGTGAAAAGGGCCGATTCAAGCCCTCTAATTTGAAAAATTTTACAATTTGGCAGAGGTCAAGGCCTTGTTGTAGACTTTTTTCTTTCTTCTTTTACTTTTTTACAGTAAATTTCGGCGGAACCGGGAACTTCTCCCATTGTTTTCTCTTTAAACATTTCACTACCATCTTTAGGTAATCACCCAGACATACATTATCTTCCTGATACTTTCGTAATAAATCTCCAAAATAATCTAAATTTCTACACCGATCAACTGCGAAGTATTGATACATGTCTTTGATTTCAAGCATAGAAAATTTTCTGGTTAGACCAGTAGCTTATCTCATGAGCATATATCATGTATCCATACTATGCTGAAGTGATTTTGAAAAAAAGGCAAAAAAATAATGCACAATATTATATATGGTAGCTTTTTGTTGACGATACACATGAAAGGGTAGTACCATATATCATGTATCCATACTATGCTGAAGTGATCCTGAAAAAAATAATGCACGATATTATATATAGCAGCTTTTTGTTGACTGTAGACGTAAAAATCTACCAGTACAGAAGGAGGGACTGATCCCGTGAGATTGAGGCCACTAGCAATCTGCTGTACCTGCACACGTAAAGAAACACATGTGAAGCAACGGAGAACACCGGGGTGGTGTTTGCCGTAGGCACTCCGACGCTCAAGTCAACAAGGCTGAAAGGCTGATTTAGTGAGGGCTAGAGAGTAAAAAAGTTACCAGAAGTCTAGTTGGGGACTGTGACTGCAGCTGTAATGTGAAGTTCTCAAGCTAGAACTCCGAGGTCTATAAGTGTAGTTTAATCTGTCTTGTGAGAGGGATGACCTCTGTTTAAATAGTGACTGTCTGATCTCCCAATCCTGGTAGGATTGGGAGTTCTCATTGTAATCGTCCTCCCCTTGTGATGTATCCTTTGCCCCCCATATCCTGGCGTGAAAGGGAGTCCAAGTATGATTCGGATACGGGTGTTGGAGGAGTTGCGGTAGTAGTGGACTACCCTATTAGAGTTCAAGTAAGAGTGCGATCCGTAGTTGACTGTGGGCTTCGAATTTGGCCATAGGCCCAGGTGGTGTGCTGGGAGCAGGAGGCCTAGGTCCAGATGGTATGGACTGGCTATTCTTCACACTGAATGTGCTTCATATGGGGAATTCTGGCCCGGGCCGCATCGAGATTAGGCCTAGGCTTAACTCTGTCAGATGTGTTATCCTATTTGGGCTGATGACTTTTTTTGGCTCTGACTGTTTGTCCCCCACTCTCTGAGTTAAGGTCTGCTTAACTTAGAGAGTAGGAATCCCCCGAGGCGTCTCTGGTCATCCTCTGCAGTCGACCGATCGCTAGCACGATCCCGCTAGAAGTTAATGTCTCCAATGTAACTGATCGGTCGGGTGGAGATGGCGTGTGGTCAAGAGTCATTTGGTGTCCTTCGCGGAGTCATGTTGTGCACCCAGTTCAAGGGGATGTGGTCGATCGGTGTGCAAGGCCAAGCAGATCGAGTAGGGGCAATCCATCTGTGTACAAGTAATCACTCGGTGTGTCCGACTGAGTGCAGAGATGAACAGTTTACTTATCACAGGTGTCTTCGATCGGTATGCCAGGTCGAGTGAGTAAACAAGTTAACCGAAGGCGAGCTCGCTCGATGTATTAGGCCGAATGAGTAGATGAAATCGACTCGACCGGTTTGCTTGACCGCATGGAGGATACTAGAGTGATCGCTTGGGGCTATCTTTACTAGGTGCCATTGGACCAAATGGGTGAGATTGGGCCAAATGTTCGCTCGGGCTGAGCGGTCTGATCCAGGCCAAGGGTTGTGCGAGTGCTAACAGTACCCACTCGTCCTCTAGGGAAGACCGAATATCCAGGCCCTCTTGTCTCACTTGTTTCAAGGCAAAAGGTCTGGTAGACTATTCCGGGCCAGTCGCCCCGATTGGGAGAATCTCCTAGACATGAAGCATGGGAGTGTCGGCTTCGTTACGAGAGCTAGCATGTTGCAATGTGTTGGCTCGGTCGGGTAGGAAGGGCGATTGAATCTTTAGACAGGTTAAGTTTATGATTTGATCGGTGGCGTAGGGTGGGGTGAGTTGTGATAAAGTCATTAAGTTTGAAAAGACCGGGTCGATCGGTGTTATAAGGAGAGTGGTTATCCAATACTTGGTTCCTGGGGAGTGAGGATTCTAGAGTTGAGTTGGTTCGTTGGTCGATCGATCGGTTGGGTAGAGTGGATACGCTAAAAATGTCTGGTTCGGGGTCGAGTGGTTCTGGTGGGGCTAGGGCAGATGTGCAGAATGAGTACGAGAGTGTCCTACCCATGGTAATGATGCCCGAAGGGGCTGTTCCGGTAGGTATACCGACCGGTGTGAACGTAGCTGCCCAAGGGACGAATGTTACTAAGCCGAGTGGTTTGGGTCAGCAAGGGGGGACTGGGGAAGATTCAGGAGGAGTTGGTAGTCCATCTTCATCCAGTAGTGGCTCTGAGGATGAGCCGAGTCAACAAGGAAATGGGATTCTAAGCAGGGATTATCTGCCCATGCTTAAAGAAAATGACGTGTGGTAGCTCCGGACAATGTATCACATTCCTGATTCGATCCAGATCAGGGCCCACGCTTGTACGAAAGGGTCGACTGGGAGGTAAAAGGTTGGGTAAGTGTTGGTGATAGGGTGATCGAGTTGGAGATGGGAGAGACGACTCGAACTGAGGACACTTAGCTTAGTTTTTCCTTTAACTCCTGTATTTTAGGGCCTGTGATGCCCTTTTTCTTAGCATGTGTGCTTTTCATTGTACTATGAACTGAGCCGTTTTGAGGCTGTTTATATGTTATACTTGTTGTTATGTTTTTTGATGCTTTCTTGATGGGTGAGTGAGTTGTTGATTGCTTCTTTGCTCGTAGATGTACTAGGGGTTAAACTCATATACTGGTGTTGACTTTGGTGCAGCTTAGTGGTTGAGTCATGTAGACTTCTCGTTGGGTTAGGTCAATGACTTGTCGATTTATGGGTGTAACAACCCTTCGCTCGGTCTGGCCAACTGAGTGTGTAGCTTCATGAGTCGATCCGAAGGTGTAAATTCGTGGATCGAGTAGGGTCGATCTGAAGGTGTAAAAAATTCATGAATCGAGCAAGGTCGATCCGAAGATATAAAAAATTCGTGATTTGAGCAGGGTCGATCTAAAGGTGTAAATCCGTGGATCGAGCAGGGTCGATCCGAAGGTGAAAAAATCCATGAATCGAGCAGGGTCGATTTGAAGGTATAAATTCATGGATCGAGCAGGGTCGATCCGAAAGTGTAAAAAATCCGTGGGTCGAGTAGGGTCGATCCGAATGTGTAAATCTGTGGATCGAGCAGGGTCGATCCGAAGGTGTAAAAAATCCATGAATCAAGCAAGATCGATCCAAAGGTGTAAATCCATAGATCGAGCAGGGTCGATCCAAAGGTGTAAAAAATCTGTGGGTCCAGCAGGGTTGATCCGAAGGTGTAAAAAATCCGTGGGTCAAGCAGGGTCGATCAGAAGATGTAAAAAATCTATGGATTGAGCAGGGTCGATCCAAAGGTGTAAAAAATCCGTGAATCGAGCAGGGTCGATTCGAAGGTGTAAATCCGTGGATCGAAAAGGATCGATCCGAAGGTATAAATCCGTGGATTGAGCAGGGTCGATCCGAAGGTGTAAAAAATTCGTGAATCGAGCAGGGTCGATCCGAAGGTGTAAACTCGTAAATCGGGCTGGGCCGATTTGAAGGTGTTAGTTGCTGAATAATGCTTCATTGAATTCGGGCCATGAGACCGACTGTCTGTGAAGGAGGTGGATGGGCCCACTCATCCTTTTTAAATAAAAAATGAAAAGACAACAAATATTTAGATTGAGTTCACCTAAAAGTAGTGGCGTGTGGGATGAACTGCATTCCAACTGTTGCTGATGTCTTTACCTTTGGGAGTTTGGGGTCAGTAGGTGCCCTTCCTTGCTGCTTTGGTGATCTTGTAAGGCCTACAATCGATCTAAGCTCTGGCCTCCTATCATTATGCATTCAGTCATACTTGACATGACTCGCCCGATTATTTCTTCTTCCTCCCACCTTATTTGAATCATCGCTGTGGCCAAGGCATCTTCCATCGTGGTGCAACCGAGCTTCTCAGTTCTTTGTATCATTCACCATCCGGGAGGAGACCTTTTCTGAATGCATCTACGGCTGTCTCGGGGTTGCAGGAAGGAATGGAAATTTTCTCTCTGTTGAATCTGCTGACATACTCTCTCAGTGGTTCCCCCATCTTCTGGTATACTATGTATAGATCAGCTGATAGTTTCTCGAGCTTCTTGCTATTGGCGAATTACTCCACAAAGGTGTTCATGAGTTGTGCGAATGAGTCAATAGAACCGTTTGGGAGATTTGTGTACCATTGGAGTGCTGGATCGGTAAAGCTTGAACCAAAACTCTTACACATGTAGGCTTCCCTCAGCGCTTGGGGTATTGAGACAGTGAACATCCCCTATTTGTACAAGGCTATGTGATCATCTGGGTCAGTTGTGCCGTCATAGGGCTTCATACTGGGAATAGTAAACTTATGGGGCATGTCGGCTAGGGCGATAGCATCCACAAAGGGTGAATTCACGTAGTAGTGAGGCTTGCTCTTCTTGGTTGGGATCGACATTCTTGGTATGTGCCTCATCACTGCCTCTACATCAGCCAGTCTCTTGGCCAATATCTACTCCATAGGAGAGGGGGATACCACTAGGTCATCCCGTTTGACTGGGTCGGCCATTACAATCGCGCTCAACATATTTTGTTGGGTCATTCCACATGGTGT